ATGAAATAATTGTGTCTGGCACGAACAGTACTCTTTTTCCTTTTAATTCGACAAACTTTCTAAGAAAATAGAATGGTAAGGAAGCACATTGACTATCAAGCTCCTACCTTAAAAACAAAACAAAGAAAAAACCAACCACTCTAGAGAGGAAGTATCCAGTTTAACACTGCTTCCTTTCCTTTATACTTAGAAAATAGACCACCTGAAACTTCTCTTCGGGTTAGGTCCTCTGTGTTTCTACTTGGCCCCATGACTGTATTGAGATACTTACCTAGACACAGTCTGACCTTTGCTATTATTGACACAGAGGATGTCTCATAACTTTGGAGTAAGAGCTAAAGCTCTGGAATAGCAGGAAGTGCAAGGAGCTGAGGGCGGAAGAGCCTGGGGGGAGCTTCCCTGTGGCTGGGGCTCCCACCGGGSCTCCCCCCGGGTCTGGCTCCAGCGCTGGGGGCAGCAGCCCCGGGAGGCAGCAGCCCCACAGGCCCCGCGCCCGCTCAGCCCCAGCCTGCGCCGCGGCGACGGGGCTGCCCTGGCAGCGCCCGGAGCCAGCGCCCTGGCGATGGCAGCGCCTCCCTTCCCGGCCCACCCACCCAGGGCATCCTCTCCCACTTCTCAAGCACCCAGKCCTCCGCACTGCGAGGCCACAGTAAGGCATTAGTGTGTCAGAAAAAAAACAAGACCAAATATTCCAAAACAACTCCAAGGTTTTACTGAACTTGCATACAGCATAATGGCGGCTTCTCAAGACATAACTAAATTTCATCTGCTGGAAGAGACTTTAGTCTGCTGCACTTATCAGAGGCCCTCTCACTGCTGCTTTCCAGTTTCGCGATTCGAGAGCCAAACTGCACAGCCCTCTTGGGCAGAATGGCCGAGGCTGCAAGGCCAAGCTCTGCAGCTGCGAGGCGCAGAAGCAGCTTCTCACCAAGTCCTCGAGGTAAMGTCAAGTCTGCTTTGTCTGAGATGGGCAGAGAATTGAGGAAGGAAACAACATCTTCATCAAGGAAAGGAAATCTAAAGAAGAGACAGACATGGTGAAAAACCCTTTACAAAGTCAATATAAACTTCCTTCTATCCKATGCAAAGGCCTCAAAGCCCATGTTGTCTCCTAATTAAAGATGTACTTCAAGTGTTAGTGTTGCAGGACTGGAGCAAGTCTCCCAAGACAGACACACTATCTTGAAGGATGACATATCATAGCTCTTTTAAACTCAAACCCTGGTAATTTTCAAAATTGCACAGAAGAATAAAAAAAAAAAAATGATGCTCACTCTACCAAAAAAACAGCAAATACTATGAAATACTATAAAAGAGCAAGATAATTTTAAAGTGCTGTTTCTCAGCATAACTTTTAAAGTTAGCAACGCTGTAGAAAGCTATATATCGTAACTCTGAAACAAAAGTATTTAGACAAGAAATTCTTACAACCTTTCGAAGTAAGAATTCCAGATATTTTTATCTAATCATCCAAATGATCAGTAATATTGCCTCTCCACCACTGCAACTATTCTTTGCTAAAATACTAAGACCCAGAAAAGTACTCTGTGACATAGAGATCTCATGAAAAGCCATGCACTTGAGCAATCCCTGCTATTGGACAACTGTAAGGAAGTAGGTGCCAGTGTGGAGGATGTAAACAAGGATAAACTGGTTCTTTAACCACTCTGACCTAACAGCCAGGAAATCCAGTGGATAATGACCATGTCATTGTTGCTTTAGTAGGAATAAGTGGCTTTTGTGCTGCGGTACCACAGCCTCTGTAAAGGCTGGATCAAGTAGTTTTCCAAAGCAACCCTTCCAAGTCACCACACAACAAACTTTTCAAAGCTGTGCAAAAGACTGTTGAACTTAAAATGATAAAAGCAACTACCTGGCTTCTTTTCCATGATCGCCAATAATCCTGTCATCTCTACCAAGATTTCTAGAAGAAATGCGATCTAACTCCATTTCAATTTCTTTATTTAGACCCTCTAAACCAGAATTTTTGAAGCAAAGACGATGTCGAGAATACCCAGCAAGCTGCTCATCTGCTCCAATTCCTGTAAGAACAACCTAGAGAAAGAGAATAAAAGAGATGTTCTTAATATCCATGCAATCTAGTAATATTTAGCAGCACTAAAATAGTTAATTATAACTTAGTAAGGAGAGTAAATTTAATGTATATTTTCTGTATGTATAAACTAGATAGATGTTGACACATTAACAGAGCCTGCAATTGTTCAATCACTGGAAAGCTCAATTTAAGTAGGTTCATTATCAGACCCAAGAGTACAATCATTTCTACCAATGCAAAGAAAAATCTCATACAAAGTAAAAATGTGCCATATTCTTCTGTCTAGTCAATGACAGACACATAAAATGTCATGAAGAGAAAACAAAAACAAAACTAGAATCTCTGGACCATCATCGTGCCTTCAAGAGCAAGTCACTGTAAAATCAGGATTCTAAACATAACTGGTGAAGTGCATGTTACTGTTATGACACTTGCTAGTGGTCAACTTACATAKGAAACTGTGCAGTTACCCATGCACAGYAGCATGTAATTTAAGGGTGAATGACACTGCCTCTTCATGATTTATTAACTCATGACCCTTTTCAACATATTCTGAACATAAAACTAAACTTGCTTTTTTCCCTAAAGCTGAGACATACAGCTTTAGGTAACCAGTCAACCAAGTCAAATGTTTTACAGTGATATTATTTATAAAAGCAAACTACTCCTGCACTACAATGCATCTTCATTTTTTTTAAATCCCAGTAACTAGCACAAAAAATAAGAATCCAAAAAGCAAGGGCAACAATCGTATGCAAACTCCTGATCTTAAAAAGTTTATTCTTCCCTGCATGAACCAGAGATTKTGAGAAGGTAGAGGAAGGGATAAGAAATGAATTCCCAAGAAAGGCATCTAGTTATTAAAACAAAAACAAACAAAAAGCTTATTTGCTTAAAACTATATATAAAAACTCAAGTTACAAAAAGAAAAGAGAAGAAGCTCCATGTAGTTCAAAAAATCATTCACTTAGATTGCAAGTACAACAGCTTCCAAGAAGCAGTCTGTTATTAGTAATAGCTAATTTTGTCACATAAATAATAAGCCTAAATAATAAGCTGGTAGTTCGCAAGCCAGGAAATGCTGGCACAAAACAATATTGCTTAATAACTCATTAGAATTTATGCCACTAACTTTATTAACTTACTCAGCTTGGACTGAATAGCAGTTATTACTGCTAGAGTTTTAACAGTGAAGATGATAGGTATTTTTTTCTAGTCATATTGTTGTCTATGCAAATTTCCTGAAAATCCATGCAACTAGGAACTCATATAAAAATAGAATGTATTTTTAAGTTCAAAGTTACACGGATTATCACTGCAAAACTGTTTGCATTCCTCCACTGAATTTTAGAGGTCTCCTAAATGTTAAGCACACTTAAGTGATTCCTGAAACAAAACAGAACTGTGTTTGAATTCTTTAGTCAAGCATAAGACAAAAGAAAAACATATAGTTGTACCTTTGCAGAACTTCTATATGGTTTCAGTTCTCCATGGTTACTAATAAAACCCTCCCCTCTAGAAGCAAACCASACTGCACAGCCAATGCTGTCATCCAGGACTGTATCCAGTGGGTAGATCAAGTGACTTATGTGTTGCTGTCTCATTCTTTTCAATTCTTCCACTGTAACATTAATTTCCACAAAGTTCCAGGTTCTTAAAGGGTTAAGAACTTTTAATTCTTTCAGTCCTGCTCTACCAGTGATTCTGTCAGGAACATCAAACTGACTGGCAGTTTTAGCATCAAAAACTTGACAGCCTTCTTGATGAGAAAACAAATCAAGGTGTACCTCTTGGTCAATATATTTTTTTGAGGCACATTTTTGCTTACTTTGTTCTTTAAGCATGAAAGCTACATTGAGAAGATCGATTGGTTCTTCCGTAGGAACATGCTGATCAGCAAGCGCTGCAATAAGCATAGAATCGATGCCTCCAGAGAACAGCACGGCAACATGAGCTTTCCTGGTAGACAGGCTTGCAATGTCTCTTCTTCTCTGATCTTCATCTCTAACCAGAGCTAAAACTCGTTTCTTCACTGCTTCACTAAAAACATCAATAAATTGATGAACTAATTTCTTCTTGTGCTCTACTTCGAGAAAAGCGTGAAGGGTTTCTACACACACTGTATGACCAACATTGCTAACATCAGTGCACTGACATTCACCTAAGGCTTCAGAAATTGTTTTATTTAAGGGAATAACTGGGGTTGTCAGACACAGTCTTGATTCATTTGCTACAACTGGTATGTGGTTTGGCAAACCTTTAGAAACTCGCTCCAGAACATTAATGAATATTTCTTCTACTGTTTTCTCTGTACAGCTGTATTTCCATGGAAACAATTGTAAAGACAAAGACTCAGCTGTTGCACAAGCTTTGAGATCAATTTTGAAAATTCCAGATGCTGGGACTTCTTGCCATTGCTTACCAGATTCATAATAACCACTTACAGATGAGAGGCACATAGCCCTCTCGACCTCATTACTGAACTGCCAAAGCAAGCTGCGACGACCAAAATAATCCCTACCAAACCACAAACAGTGACTAGATTCTTGATAGTAAATAAAAGACCATGGACCTCGGAGCGATGAAAAGAGTGACAAGATTTCTGCTTCGCTATTGCATAAGGTGAGACGATGAAACATAATTTCAGTGTCATTCTCTAGGGACCCAACATGAACTCCATCAAAAATTTCTCCATTCCAAAGGAAAACATTGCTATTGGCATCTTCCAGAGGCTGAGGAGTCATCAAACCCCTCAAGTGAAGTACATGACCAGAAAACAGACACTTATAAGAGAGATCAGACACAGCTTTTATCAACTGTTGGCTACTGTCCRGTCCTCTTCGTCTTAGACAGGAGAGCACATCCTTGCTGATGGAACCGTGAAGAGCATGCTGGCTAGACAAGGTAATGACACAACAAATACCACACATTGCTAATTTGAATTCAAGTGAACTACTTCTTGATTTTGTTTTCTGATTTTTTTTCTCTGAATTCCAATGGATTATTTCCTGATTTTGGTCTTCTCTGAATTTTCTAACTCTTGATGTGCCTTCTTCAATTCATCTAATGTATCTGTTTAACAGAACAGAGAAAATAAATATATGAACTAGGGAAGTTGGARAGGATATCCAGCAACTCCAGCCACTTGCCAATAAGGAGAAATTCATGAAATARTATGAAACACAAGTGCTATAATACTGATATAATAAAAAATAGTTTGTTGTAGCCAATTCTTCAACTATACATAAAATTATCGTTTCTGCTCCCCCCAAAATAAAAAAAACACTGCACAAATACAAAGACACAAAGACTTGGAGAATGGCCAGCTATTGCCTATATAAATAGTATAATTTATATCTGTAATAATCAAAAAGAATCAACACCAGAAACTGCATAAATAGCTTTTACCTATTACCAAGCTTTGTTCAATCATCAGCTCTTTTCATTTTTAAATAGTTAATTATTTGATTAACTTTCACGCTCCATACTTACTTTTGCATTGAGATAGTGTTTCTGTTCGATCTGCAAGGAAGAATATGTAGCTATTGGGTTGCTGCCTATAAACTTTCTGTAAAACAAAACCAAAACTGCAGTAAGTCAAACCAGCACCAAYGTGCACTAGGAACAAACCATGGCCCATTGAGACATCCTTAACTTTTGGGCTAGAATTGAGAACTCTRCCCTGCCTACAATAGCATTCTAATATACTATCAAAAGTGTATGATGATGGCATTTTCTTTCCTGTACTTCCCTTTTCATCATATAWAAAGAAGCATCTTCTATATGAAAGCATATACATCAAATGCAAAAATATTTTATGAATTCCCGTGGCCAATTCAAACATATTAGCCAACAAAAAAACAAACAAAACCTTTGTCTTTTATTCAGTTCTAGATGACATGCAGCCATCATCTCTTTAATATTAAAAGCAATCATGCTAAAAACGTACACATATGATGTATGAAATGTCAGGAGGAGCTAATTCTTCACACAGTGTATACAAAGTCTAGTGGATTTTCTACATTATAGAATATTGTTACCTTTTATATAACTGTAAATCAAATGAAGATATGGAAACAAATATAGTTTATTTGCTGCCCTTATTTTCAGTTTCCCTCTTGCTTCTACGCTTTTTTCCTCTGATCCTAAAATGAAACAGCCAAAAGCAAATTGATAAGTACTTACCCGGTTCTTCTTTAAATTAGAAAGCTCATCAACTACAATTTTCTGCTCTTTAATCTGCAAGGCAAAAGACACACTTCAAGTTAGTTCCTAAAAATGAACCAGCATGTTACAATCCTGTGGGGATTCTCTTTACCCCTATTTTAACAGGGCCACGATATAAGTTGCTCTTAATGAGCCCTGAAAAGAAAGTGAAAGCAAATGTAAGAATGAAAAAAAAATGTGACACTGCTCAATATTCCAAGACTGCTCAATATTCCAAGCTGACRCTACAATTCTTGGGGCCATACAACTGATTTACATACGTAACCTTCTTTTGAATTACTAATTTTAAATATTAATACACTTATAAGCTGCTGAATTATTTTTAAATAACTGCTTCAAAAGGAGATATCCTGCATGGAGCGGTAGTTAGGCTGTCCCTTGGAATGACCATTGCTGGAAAATCAGCCATCTCTAGCTATTTGCAGTCACAGATCATGTTTTTGCCCTGAAAGAAAAAAAAAAAAAAAAAAAAGGCAAACAACTAATAGAGAAAACATGCTATGTTTTCCCCATAAAATTATTTCAAGGACTACAGTACACTTTATAAAGTTATTCTCAGATTTTAAATGAAGAAAAAAACCCTATCCACTGTATTGCGAGCAAAGCCAGACCTGCTCTGAAGTTTCTCTTTAGTTTTACACAAACTTCATCAGTGAGACCTGTCAGTCTGTTTGCCCGCACTGACAGATGCGGCTGGGCTTCCCCCCTTTCATTATCGTGGAAACTCTCGATGCTCCAGAGCAATCAGGAGGGGCTTTGTAAAGCCAACGGGCTCCGCAAAACTGCTTGGCAGGCGCGTGTGTCACCCTCTGCAAGGGACTGACCCAACAACCCAAGTATAAAAGCGTGATCCTCTCAGATTCAATCCCTGCCTGCTTCATKGCATTTTGGGGAATCAAAATGCATCACAGATTTTAGGTAACATGAGCGTATGGAAAGGATGCCAGTTTTTTTTGTAGAGAGTATTTCCAAAGACCCTGACAGATTTCACACTGAACGGTACTACTGGCTTTTCTGAAAACTGCATCAGTTTAGCACAAATACCATAAATGAGATTAAAATCTGCTTCGGCTCTCTGAGCAGCTGCAGGACAAGACACTCCAACAAAAACTTCACCAGTGCACGGGATGCCTCGAGTTAAGCCAAAAGCGGGGAAAACAACCTCGTTCCCTCGGTTCCTCGTTAGTCTAGAGGCCAGCGAAGGCTCAGGGCGCGGCCCGGCGCCTACCCGAGCTGTGAAACTGACAACCCGCAGCCCGGGCCGCGCGGGCTGCGCTGCCCCCGCGCCCCGCAGGACCCGCTCCTGGCGGCGGCCGCGGCTCACGCACCCTCCGGCTCAGCTCCTCCTTGTGGCGCTGCCTCGCGCTCTCCTCTCCCGGCCGCGGCGAGCGCCCCGACATCCCGCAGCCCCGCCGCAACGGCCGCGCCAACGGCCGCGCCAACGGCCACCTTCCCCCTCGCAACCGGTGACGCCGCGCAGGTACGTACCGCATTGGAGGAGGCGCGCAGGCAAGCACCAATCAGCTGGCCTGCGCCCCAGCCACGTGAGGCGACCGAGCATGCGCCGGGAGGTGTGGGGGGGAGTGGCCGTTGGAAAAGGGGCGGGAAGGGGCGGGAGGGGACGCGCCGCGTGGGSGCCATGTCGYGTGGGCGCCGTGTGGCAGCAGGGTCGCTCTTGTCGCGAGCCAGATTTCTCCGTGGTTTTCTCTGTGTGTTAATTTTAAATTTTGTCAGGCTGCTGATCGGTTAGTRTGCCACAGCAGCAGCGTTGCCACACACAAAAAAATAAATATTAAATAGCCTTTGCTGTTGTTGTTGACAGTGTGCYTCAATGGAAAGGAATTTTCTGATCATGTGTTTTTAAAGAGCCTTAAAGTGTGTCAGCTAGCAGAAGCAAACAAGTTATTAAGCAAAAAAAAAAAGTGATTCTGTTAATACAAGTTGGGGGTTTTGTGCTGCTATCACACCTGAAAACATGGATAACTTGAATAGCTGGACAAACTTCTAGCATAAAATTTATGTGAGAGAGGATATAGGGTCGTGAACTACTAGCTTTCCTATTTCTGTGCTTCACTGTCAAAATAGTTTTTATTCTGTTACCCTAGCCTGGGGAACATGAGTTACGAGAGAAGATAAATCCCCACCTGATGAGAAACACAACATGAGAGCTGACCATCACAAAACTTTTATTACAACATGTCTTTTGTGTGCTAGAAAAAAGCTTAACTTGTTTTTCAAGTGATATGTTGGTTACTTGGGGAGCACAGATGAAAGTGCAGGTGCTTCTGAGTGAGTTGCATTTGATCGGTGAACTTGATGAGTGCTTTAGTTACGGTGATGATGTAATTGGCTTGGGAAGATGGACATGAAGGATGTGATTGCCATTTCTGTGGTTTGATGGCGCTGTTCCTGCTGTTTGGAATGAAATGTGTGCTGTTGGTGAACCCTTGTTATTGTTTATTGCCAGTACCAGAAGCCTAAGGCTGGTGTTGTGTGGATGTTTACTTAAAATGTGGTAATAGGTTGGGTTGCAAGAAGCTCTGCACAAATAGACACTCSAAAAAACATCTGGTTAAAGAACTCAGAAAGAAAAAAAATTAAGAAAAATCCCACAAGTCCTTTTGTTTTTCTSTGCACTGTAAACAGTACAAATTTGTACAAAATTGTACAAATGCTGGTAAATTACCTGAACATTTCTTATATGAGTAAGTGAAGTAAGAATGCTGACTTTTCCCGCTTGATGGCTTGTGGCTCACATAATGATATGTGTTACGTATTCTGATAACTGTGAGCAAGATTGCACCTTGTTTTGATGGTGTCCATCAACTGCACTGAAGCTCACTGGAATTTTTGGCAGTGAAACAGGCAGAACTAGGATTCTGGTTCCTAGAGGAGGTCTGAGAAAAGCCAAGTTGTGTTTAAGAATATTTAACAGTACAGTAAATCACAGGCATGACACCATTAGCATTACTATGTTTACCACCAATGGAAAAATAAACTGAGGATATAGATTAATGAAAGGCCAGTGTTGCTGTTCTCTCCACCTTCAACYGCACTTTCCTGCTCTTGCTTCAGCACTCTGGGCTGTTCACGGGACTGTGCGGCGAGCCGGTTTAGGCGGCTGATCCAGGTTTCTCCGTAGCATATCAGTGGTTATATGAACCTGGCAGCCTCCCAGTTAAGCTCAGCTTAACCGAAACTGGAGAGGTTCTGAGCCTTGGCCTTCAGATTCTGTGAGAAATACACATGCCTGGATCACACAGACTGGTTTTGATGCTATTGATTAATGCATTTCGGAATTTGTTGCTCATGTTCCGTGGAGGAATTTGTTTAATCTGAGTGGCCCCAGCACTCTGGCGCCTCACTAATTATTTGCTATTTCTATGTTACAAAGGTTGATGATCAAGCAAGCCAGTAGTCAAAGTATAATTTCCTTACTGATGGTCTTTTTCATGTTCAGTAATAAATAGAGTTAATGTTTATGAATCAGCAGTCCATCCCTGTGCTCCTGAGAAGGTTTCATTGATTGGTTTGTTATAGTAGGGATAATGGTTAGACATTTAAAGCATAATCGTGAATGTGAGCATTATTTTCAACTTCTGGTCTTAACCACAAGTTACAGATATTTCTACTGATAGGGAATGTGCTTTTGACAAGTCTTTTTTTTTATGATTACATGGTTGCAATACATAATTACAGCTGATGTTACTTGTATTCTTACCCATAATAAGAGTAGCTGTGTGTAAAAGTCAGTAAGAGAAGAGGATTTGCATCTCACATGCACATCTGTGACATCTTATGGACTGGATTCAACTGTAGATGATGGTAATTGGAAGAAATTTGTAGTACTTTAGATGTAGCTCCTTTGAATGTCCTTGAAACAGCGCAATCCTGCAGCACTAACGTTGGCCACAGGAGAGGCATCTATGCAAAATATATACAATATCTTAGGCAGCTGGATCTATTTAAATCCAAATAATGATTCCCACAGCCTATTTTCATGTATTTATCTAACCAAAATTACTTGTAAAGACAGGCAAGTTCCCCTGGCCAGCTTAGGATGATTCTCTCCATCCTGCCAAGGAGCTCGTTCAGTTCCTACCACAACAAACCATTCCCTGCAACAGCACTGTCTTTGCTACAGTCCCGTGGGTCTGGGGACAAGCTTAGGTATTGCAGATTCCCCTTTTTTCTTACAGTTTGTCTTCTAAAAATCAGTGAAGACATTTTCCCCACTATGACTCCACCTTGGAGGAAGCTGTGTAAGTCCAAACTCAAGCTATCTGCATTGCAGCTGAATGTTAGTGTTTTGATTAGCTGGTTATAGCGTTTTCTAGGGGAAAAAGATGGACAAGAAGACTTAAATAGGATATGGGAAGCTGAATGTGGCTCTGGGTCTTCCTGAATCTCAGCTCTCCCATAGTGTAGCTGTAATACCTAGTGCAGAAGTGCTGCTATGGATCTCAATGTAAAATATTGGCAAAGTACTCTGATCTCTTGAATAACACACAAAGCAAAACCTCATTTTAATATTAGCATGTGATGTCCTACAACTTTAGTGTCTATCTAACAGCCTCTGTAAGTTCTGTAGACAGTAAGGGTTTGATTTGTTTTTCTAAATCTCAGCCTCCATTATCATCTGAGATGACAGTGTGTCCTACCTGCTACCCCACTGGCACARGGAAGAGCACAGCTCTCCTACAGGACTTAAGTTATAGTTGCTGTTTGGATGTTTCATCTACATGTGGGTGTCTCAAGCTAGATGCTTGCATTTAGGCAGCTTAATATGTCACTAAGAAACAGTAGTCACTGTGCATGTTTTTTGCTATTAATCACTATTTTCAAACTTGTGACATGCAACCGCATATACAAAATACCTGCGTTGTGATGGCAGCAGGTATAAAATGTATTTTATAGACCATAGCTGGCAACAAGAATGTGGTCAAAACAGGAAGACTACTTTGTTTTAAAAGATTTTTAAAGACTATTTAAAGTGATAGTCTCATTTACTTTTCGAACATTTGATTTGTACGTATATTGAAATTTGTTTTCCCAGTCTTAATCCTTAGTGGTATCGCCGTACATTAATTACCCCAACAGCTTTTTCTTCTTTAGCCAGCTATCTGTGTTAGCTTAACTGGGCATTCAAAACACTTGGGCAATGCTACCTCTAACCACATGGTGGAGAAGTATTATAGCAAGATAATGACAAGCTGTTACTCAACTTGGTACTGACAAGCTCTTACCCAAACTTCTTTTTTTTCTTGATTTAAGAAGTAGATATGTGCTTAGGATATGGAAAGAAAAGAGTTCTGAAAATACTGACACATTTTAAGCTCTAATGAGGCAATCTGTACAAAAAGCCCAAAAGGAAGGTGCAAAGCACAGCTGCGGTCATGGACCTCTGCTGAGCAAAACTTCCTCAGGCCRGGAGGATTGTGTCCACTCACAGAAACTGTTTGCTAAAATGCACTGGTGTGAGCGGACTTGGTTACTCGATATTAGGGGAGGGTCACCAAGCGGTATGTTCCTYGTGTGATTCAAAAACTAGATGTCGTTAATGGAACACAAGACAAGTATAAGAAATCCAATCATTACCAAAAAAAAAAAACCCAAGGAAACTGTACCAGTAACTACCACTAAGACCCCACCTGTGCCTCAGACAACAAGTGCCTCACAGGACAGGACTTTTGATTGGAACAGTTTCCTCTGGCAGCTCCTTGCCAGACCCACTGCCRTGATGCCTCCAGGATTCCTCCTTCTCCAGACCCTAACTATGCCCTAACCTTAGCAAATTGTTGCGTCCAGCACTAAGAGCCTCATCTGTGCCTCGGATGAAGAACTGCTCCCAGGACAGGCCCCTTGGCAGCCGCGCTCCGACGTCTCCAGGATTCCTCTTCCTCCATTTTTTCCTTCACAGCAGCATTATATAACCTCATTTAAGTCTATCTTGTCCCAATACGCCACTGTTCTCTGATTTTTCTTGAACTTCTTGCATTTTTCCTTTAGGGTTTTATCACCATAGTGTATTTCTGATAATGATGATAATTTCTTTTTCAGGCAAGATTGACTGCATCCTGTCARTGGTCACTGAATTACATAGGAATCTCTCGCTTTGAAATTCTCTGGAAATAAATATAAATCCTCTCAGAAGGGGCTTGAGGCAATGCACATTTACTTAATAATGATTATGTACAGATATTTACTTTAAGTGAAATAAAAGTTTTTGCATGAAAAAGCACCTTATTTAAATGAAAACACAAAGCAGGAATCCTAATAACTGAAGAATTTTCTGTACCGCCCTTTCCCTGTGCAAGGGTATTGCACACTGACTATCAGTGGGTATTGAGGCCATATTTCAGATAGCTCACATGCAGGGGTATACAAGCAAGAGGACCACAGCTCTCTGCACCCAAATCCAATGATGACCATCTCATTGAGCAGTTCTCTGCTTCACCCTCCAAAACACTGCAGGTTAGGTGATATATATATATATATATATATATACACATACATACACACACAGAGGTAGGTGTGGATGTATGTGTTTAATATATTCTACCTAGTTTTGCCTGGCCTTTTATAACCAGTGAGTAAAGATAAATTTGGCACACCAAGAGGAGAGTCTTAAAGAGTGGCAATATTATGAGAATTACAAGAACTAAAATTCCAGAAACTCTCAGCTGAGTGTAAGATCGGAGTTTACATCATGAAGTCTCTCACTATTATTCACCCCTCTTTAGTTGATTCAGTGGTGACATTTGTGGGAAGCATTTTGTAAAATTGCTATTGCTCTAGATTCTGGAACCCTACTCCAAGCACGGTGTTTATGGAACATGCCATTGATGTGGGCAGTGATTTAAAGCCAAAATACATCCTGTTTTCAAGACATCTCTTTCATGGAAATGAACTTTGAATATTTGTGTCATGCACTTGCCAATAATTAAAACATTTTCTGTTGTTTACATGTTGCAATTGTCCTAGTTGGCAGAGAGGTTTAGTAGACAACAGCGTCTCGGTTACAGAAATCTGTTTCATTGGAAACGTTTTGAATCAGAGGACTCCTTGAAGCACTAGGGCTCAGGTGAAGGAAGGGCAGGGGGATGTCCCAGGTTCTGCTCTTGTGCCTCTCATTCTAGGCTGCCTGTTCTCCAGGCCTGGGCTCCAAGCCTCTGCTGTGCCCGGGAAAATGGAGCGCTCACCCTGCGGCCTGTGAGCACCTCCATGGTGCACCTCAAGTCTGCAGGTACCGTGGTGTGAGGACCAAGAGAGAAGGACTGCCTGTTTAGAAGTGCTCGCGAGGGCTTCCCGGAGCGATCCAGCACAGGCTGGGTTTATTGGAGTACGAGTAGCAGTGTTTGGGACTGCTTGTAGCTCACTTCACTGTGCGCAAAGCGATGAAATCCGCGCGTTAGGTATCACGTTCAGTACCAAGGTGATGAGGAGTGTCCCCATTTGACAGGGCAGTCACAGACTTAAYGACCGTTCAAGGAGGGATCATGTGGGAATTCGCTGCGGGGGACGCCGGCGGAGCATTTCCCACCGCGGCCAACCCGCTGCTCGGGGACGCGTGTGGGAGCGCAGCAGGGCGGCAGGGGGTCCCGCAGCTGCAGGGCCCCAGCGCTGCGGCACCTTCGCACCGCCCCGGGGCGGGCCCGGCACCGGCACGGCCCCGGGGCGGGCCCGGGAGCGGGAC